GCTCAAGAAGCTATCGAGTTTTGATATCAAATTTCATTAACCGAGACAGTTCATTTATTCGCGAGATCTTGCGCGAATATCGAGCAAAAACACGGATCCATCTCTTGTTATCGAGACAAAATTGTTTCGTTATTATGTTTTACGTACGTGTATTCAATTGTTTTATCGCGTAATAAAAAGTTGCATACATATCGACACAGACATTGCGATTCAACGATGCGGAAGACACTTCCTTCTCATCAGCTATCTTCACAGAGACACGTTGACAGTTCTAACAACATTAAGCTACAAGAAATCAGCCAGTAGATTGCGACGCATTCTGGAACGCTTCCCGGTCCTCTTGGAAGAAACGCACACACACACACAGGCGCGCACACTCGGAAAAACGTCGAAAGGGTCGCGAGCTCCCTTCGAGAACGAACATAATCGTGCCGGCACGATAGGAATAAGCATTCGGAGTGGTACCTTACACATCCGATATATCGATCCGGGCGGCTGATTGCTATCGAAAAACGTAGAATTTTCAGCGAAAACTCGGAATGTTGCTGAAGGAGCGCGCAAGCACACGGAACAAGAATTATTGGAAGGATACGGAAAAAGGGTGGGAGGAATGGCTGATTAAATGCATACTCTAGTACTTCCAAGATTGACGCGAGATTTTGCGGCGAAATTTTCGTTATTCCTCGAGCGAGCAACGGAACGTCGAATCTCTCTCTCTCTCTCTCTCTCTCTCTCTCTCTCTCTCTCTCTCTCTCTTTACAACAGGAATATAAAATCGAATTCTCGCAAAACAAATTTCGTCATAATACATATCGTATAAGATAACGCGCTCGCGCGCGCGTGCTATTATTATTCGTCGTCGCGCAATATTATCGTTTCCTCGTCGTTTGCTTTGCGATTCACGATTCGCTAGAAACACCAAGTGTGAGTACATGCGAGCATCGTAAGCAGCGCGACTGCACCCGACAGACATCGTCGGGAAATCACTCTCCGAGGTATAAACGTGGCAATCCTGGATTTGCGGTCGATAACTGCGCGCGATATGGTGGTTCAATTACGGCAACTGCGAACTTTCGCCCCCAAGACGACATTTCGTAGCAACTTACGAGCGTATCGAGGGTAAGAGCTGCTGTGCTTGCTATGTGTATGTAACACGAGGGAGAATGCGCGATACGAGAAAAGGGTGCAACAACGACGAACGAGGATCGGGCGCGAGAAAGCGCGCGGCGTATATAAGACGGAGAAGAGATCCTTTTCTCTCTCTTCTCTCTTCCTCCCCCTTTATCTCACGAACGAAGTCGCAGACGCGCGTATAGGCACGCGCGCGCATCCCCCGCTCTATTGTGCCACCCCATTAAGCATTCGTTGCAGTGCGTCGTTATAATGCAAGATATAATCCCCGCGACGCAGTAAACACCGAGCGAGTTAAACGAATGCGCGGATTGCATCCTCCTCTTCTACCTTCCTAGGATGTCGCCGGGGGTGGTGAAGACAAGTATAAACGTTTCACCGCGCCACGAGCGATGCTCGCGGGCGTGGAAAGTAATTTAAGGAGCGATCAAGCTGTCGCTGGCAATGCGGCTTACATCCAGCGCGACCCACGTTACGGGCGCGCGAGAGAGTAGAGATAACCAGACGGAGATCATGTACATACTTCCTTCTGAATAAATCGACGCTACTGGAGGTAATGAGGACACTCTCTTTGTCGTGTCCGCGGGACTTATCGCGCCGGGGGTATTTATCGCGCGATCATTAGCTGCGGATTTTTCTCGAAGCGATAAATATAATGCGGAAACCTTCCTAAGTAATTCGATTGATGTTTAATTGCGTAAGCGAATTTTGAATATTACGTTTCCAATTAAAAACAGTCCGTTCGCACACGTTCTATTATTAGGAAAATGCGGGAAGAGAAATAACGGCGCAAATGGATTATAAGGATCAAAATTTTGCGTTTAAATTGACGATAATGAGAGGAAGGGACGATGAAGAGATCGTACAAGTGTTTCGTATCTTCTGCGCACCCGGGAGAGAGAGAGAGAGAGAGAGAGAGAGAGAGAACGCTCCGTTCCTTCGAGATAGCTCCGCGAAACACTTTACAATTTATATTACACAGTCTTGTGTAACGCGCGGACACCCTTTCTCGCGAGCAAGAGAGCGTCGTGAGATTTCTCTCTCTTCCCGCAAGATTTACTGGTAAAGTTGTTACCGCTGTTATAAAATATTTAATTAGTTGTCTTAATGCCGCTTATTTCTCTCGCCTCACCGAACTTTCGTGAAAACGCAACGAGAAACTGCGCAGTGGGATACATATAGTTAGTGTAAAACTGAAAAAAAAAAAAAACAGAAATATTGTCTCTTCAGTTGCTTTAACGTCCGCTGCAGTATTAAACGTTTTCATTATTACCATGTTGCGTGTGTTTTTTACATCCGCAAAGTTTTCATTCCAGTCGGTTGCAGTTAGTCAATTTCAAACAGCTTAAATTCAATAGCCAATTATTTCGCTCGATATTTGTCAATTTTGCGAATAGTAATTTTCGGCCTCGCATTCACCGTTGAATATTATTACCAATAACGTCGCGGTACTGTTATATATAATTGAGCTGAACGTTTAAAGTGCAAATATTGCTGCGAGCTATGCCGATACCTACACGTCGACACGCATGTATGTCGATGCCGCATGTGTTGTTGCGTAAAATGATCCCGGTATAGTAATATGTTTCGCCGACACGTATCAAAAGGTAAAACAATAATTAGAATCAAGTCGTGGCCATCGCAGAAACGGACGAGCGCGAGAACGCCATCGCAGCGCGAGCTGATTGGAATTTTACTACAGAGTGATAGAGATTGTACCAGTACAGTGGCACCAGCTCCTGTTTCTCCAATTAAGTTTCCCGGATGTAAATCGGGTTAAGGGAATTCTGTAACGCGCGCGCGCGCGCGCGCGTCGTCGTCGACAGGATTCATTCGCACAGAGAGAAACACGAACGGCAATTGTTGAGGAAACCGTTAATATTAGCGAAAGATCTTTAAATGAAAGTCACATCTGGAATGTTTTGCGAAACACGTCGTAGTTACACGATCGCGAATGTCTGTATGTGTCTGTCTTTGTGTACGTATGTCTAAGAATAAACTTATTAGCCGCGCGATCTGTGAAAAAAAATCCTCAAATTTTCCAAATCAAATTTAGATGGTGTATCGATCGGAAAGATTGGACCGCGAGACAAAAATGAGGCATCGCAAAGATTAACCCGTCTGGATTAAGCGTGTGTGTATGTATATATATATATATATATATATAAGACGCGCGCAAGTCGCCTCCCTCCGAGGAGTAAACGCGGATAAAAACTCATCAAAGTTCGCACCAGCCAGCAAACTGACGCCATTAGAAGTAATTTATCATTTAAAAGTGGCCCGTTCTTGCCGCCACGCTCAGCAAGCTGCGACATATGCGGTATTAACTTTCTTATGACAGGGATCCTCTTGACCTGTTTTCACCTTACGTGAGGCGCGCACAGCGTAGCGACGAGGCGCATCCTGCGCACAAGCTGGCTTGGCGCGCGTCACGTACGAACGTAACGGCCGTATTATAATACAGGAGCATTTATATCCCCGACACCTCATCGCGCAAATAAGCCGTATGTAATTCCCTTCTAATCGGCCGAAAATACAGTCATCGCGCTAATAATCGACGGCGACAGCAAATAATAAATTGCATCACTTTAAATTTGTCATTTAATTTAACAATATATATTTCAAGTACGATTTAACCAGTATATATATTATAGCCGATTATTTGAGCCGAACACAGTCATCCTATCAGCCGTGTAAAGAAACAATTGCGCGGCGGTGGTTACACGCAATGAATAAATTCAATCCGTTCGCGATACAGCGCCGCGCGCGCCCGACCGGCGCGTTATACGCTCTGTTCCACTAAAACGAATGGCTCTCACAAATCTCGTTTATTAATGCAGATAGAAAAGTGTTTCTCCCACTAATGTGGAGACGCGCCGCAAGCGTGAAAATGCAAATCACGAGGGGATATTATATATATCCGGATATCTCGTCTTAGTTTCCGCTTTAAAATATTTTCACGAGTATAAGAGAAATGTAATGAAAATCTGGATGAGCGATAAAACTGCTGCTGCTGCTGCTTGAGGAGCGCGAACTTATTTTAGCGGATGCCATATTGTAGGGAAACTCGCGAGAGTATTTCATATCCTGTAACTGCCAAGTGGCAAATATTGCACTGTTATTGGTAATATAAGTGGGCGATGTCTTTCTCTCTCTCTCTTTCTCTTCCTCTATCTATCTATTTATATATATATATATATATATATATATATATATATATAAACGCCATCATAAAGCCACAATTATTTCCAAAGAAAAGCTCCGGGATGACAAAATTGTTTGCGGATAACTTATCAATTTTTACGCGCACCGTACGTATAGATACTTTTTTTATCATTCCGAAATACATTTATCTGTATATAATGAGTGCTGAATATACATAAATATTTCGATAATATTTTAATTGCGATCTAATTTCTCCCAAATTGAATATACATTAGCGCGTAATAGATTGCAAACTTTTTATCGCAAGTACAGGGTATATTTATCATATGACTCAATATATTGGTATATTTATCATATGACTCAATTATTCCCGAACTCTGACGAACAATCGTCGACGATAGCGCGCGAAGTAACGTCCGGGACGTGACCTTAAATCGCGCTAATTAAAAGCATCGGAAGCGCGATCAGGAAGCGATCCCACGAGCGCTCGTTACACGCACGTAGGATAATAACACGCGATTACAGCACTAACGCGCCCACGTTTAAGTATGCGGCGTTATCGGAAAATATGTAAATCAGCGTTATCGATTTGGCGCACTGGGAAATGCAAACGCGCGCTAATAAACCTTACGCACATGAGCGTGTTAATTATCGATCACAATGCTATCGATGTGTGTGTGTGTGTGTGTATGTGTGTAACTCACTTGTTTTGTGTACGGCCGCAAACACTGTGAAGTATCCCGCGAGGTGCCCTCCGAAAAATGTGTTTTCGCACGCCTTATTTTTCGACGCCTCGCTCGCTTCCTTTTTCCCCTCGACGGTCCTCGGTCGTCGAATCACTCGCTCCCCTCCGTTCTTCTCCTCTTCGTGCAATTTCACCAAAATTGATTCTGTCAGAATCACAAATCTCCCCCTCTATTATTGACACCTTCCGTTATGAAAAGAAAAGTCTTATATTGAGGCTAATACGGTTGTTCCTCTCACACCTCGTTCTCTTTCATTGTCGCTTATAAACGGGCTTAAATCATACAATTATTTACTTCCTCCCGGATCGTGCTTATGATTCGCTCGCGCGAACCGCTGTCATCATCACTGCGAAACCGAATCTGTCCCGCGGCAACGCCAGCATTTCGGGATTATCGCTTCAAGTAGTAATAGTCATTCACGGTCCGCCGATACGCGCATCCTGTCAGATAGCGTGCGATACATCTGCACAAACTAGGGCGGGGAGGAGGTGGTCACTACAGGAGGGGAACTATCGTTCGACCGGGAGTAATCGCGTGGAATCACAGCTCGATGTGTCGAAACAATAATCCCCGCGAAACATCGCCCGATTTACAATCTCACGAAAACGTCAATTGTCCGGGAACACGGCTTAGAAAACTGTTTTTCATATGTGCAATTGATTTGAGTTCGAATATACGTCAGCGAGCGTTATTATTACGCTCGCAATCGATAACTTTTGCAGTTATCATTTTATATGTTGCATATGCGAATGTAGTATGTAATTTCGGAAAACCAAGAGAGGAAATAATGACGTCACTATGGCGTCACGCGCGAGTTTTAATATTATTGAAAAAAAAAAACGCGTTCGACGTCAAAGTAACTAAAAAAGCGAGAAAAGACCTGTCTATTAGTTAGATGAAATGTGAAAATCCTCGCTCGGATTCTGAACAGCCCGAAGCACGTTAAATGTGTATCGGGAACTGTGTCGGGCTAACGATTGTTAACAGTATCAATGCTTTGCAAACAGCGGCTCTCCGAAGTAAATGTTATTGAATCTGACAAATCCTGCAAGAAAATTCAATTAAATCATGAACGTGATAAAAATGTGAGAATGTCGTCCAATCGTCCGTCGTCGTCTTAAATCACATCGCTTATCATACACACGCACATACAAATACATACAAATTTGAAAAGAAATGAATAAGTAGGTAAATTGTCTTTTCTTAATCAATAAATAGTCGCGCGAGATTTAAATATAATAAAGATTAAAACTTTTTATCGATATCCGTCGAACTAACTGCAGCTCACTCATAAAAAAAAATCTATCGCAATCTGGTTCAGAGAAATTCTTTGCATTTATAATGTCGATCCCGTCGTGTGCCTTCGATGGCGCAAATTACGTCATAAAGCTCATGTAACCTCCGTGACGCGTAATTTGATGTGCATTTAGTTTTTTTTTTTTTTCTTTTTCGTTCTTCTTTTTACTTTTTCATCTTTCCTCTCTTTGTTCCCTTCGACCGAGCCAGGTAACACCGCGAAGGGCGGGGACCGAACGTGTCCCACTTTTGTGGTGACCAGTACAGTTTTTTAATCCAAGCTAACAACGTGACACAAGTTAACCGCGCGGTAAGATTACGTCCGCGATGTTATACATAGAAAGCTCGTCGAATATACGCACGTATGGTTTTTTCTTCCTTTTGTTACATAAAAATTGCATTTTTTCGACCGTCTCTCGTTCGTTTATAATTTCCAGATAAATATTTTTGCTTTACAAAAACTACGTATATGGTCTGTGTCGAATATTTTTGTTTAAGTCTGTGTAATATCGCGCATAAATAAATATATATGTATAACAACGCTTTGACATCAAAAAACTTTTCGAAAAATATGAGTATCAGACGTAATATCGAGGATTCCGAGCAAGATTACGGACTTGTAGAATTGCATTAAATTTTGAATAATATTATCTTGTAAACAGAATTTCTCTTCAGAAATTCTCTCTCGTCCTCCAACTTTTAGTCTCCGTTTCTTTCCGATGTGAAACGCGCGCGTAACACATCGTAAGAATTTTATATTCGTAGACGAAAGATACAAAGCCAAAAAAAAAAAAGAGGAATACTCGGACTGTTACGTGTACCAGCGTTTCCAATTTTTATGATCACTCCGCGAACCGCAGCAACCGATATCAAAAAAATATAAAGCGGGGTTAGCTCGAGATCGCGTGCGGAACTCGCGCGCGATTTATCTTCCTTTCTCTCGTGCACGATCACATGCCGCTGACAGATTCGAGGTCCGGAGCACTAAAATTTCACGGTGCTCGTTCATCGAGGATACACGTCCGAAAGCACCGCTTTTCAAATTTTTTTTCGTCCGTGTGACGACATATGACGCGCATCACACATCACAGTGTGCCGCGCTCTCTTCGCACTATATATGTATAAAACAATTCCCCGTGTTTATTTCTTCAGTAACGTTTAATTGGTTATCGACGCGACGAAAAATTATATATGTATATTTTGTAGGCGTATCGGAAACCACCGGTACAATTTTTTAGATCTTTTAGTTGCCGAAGAGCAAGCGTGTATGCAGAAAATAAATATAATACGTCCGTCCGAAGCGATGCGCGCACGCGAGAAAAAAGCACGTCCACTTTCGCTCGCTCGAGTTCTTATGAATCGGTCCGTGGAAATGCTCTCCGCTCTCACCCGGTGCTCGTTAGAGCTTCGCCAATGGACTGCTAGGCGCCGCGGCAAAAGCTACGGCGCAACACGCCGACGCACCTACCCCTTACAACCCCTACGGCTATCCCCGCTTTGCGGCAGCGACACCAGACCCACATATACTCGACGAGTTTTCCACTCGTTCTCCGCGCGCGAGAGCTTGTGCCTTTCACGACTCCGTAAAACATGTAACGTCGACAGAGAGAGAGACTATGTTTACCGCGAACGCGCGATTCTCGCGATCATCCTCGCGCGGTAGACACCTCACCACGCGCCTCATTAAAATATCGCATTAATCTGTCGGCTAAAGATGCCGGAGAAGTTACCGAAAAAATACACGTATATACTTATTTAACATATTTATATATGTATATAATATAAATTTATATTTTGTTGATACAAATCTTGCATTTATGGGGATTGTGACGAACAAAAAAAAACCCCCCAAAAACAAGAGTATGAACTTTTATTACGTTCGAGGCAAATGCCTAGAAAATGTCGAAATTTCGATACGTAACGAAAGGGAACATATCTGTTTTATATTCCAGCAGCGCTCCAATTCAGCTGCTCATCAGTTTTTATTTTTCCCGTTACTAACACACACAGAGAAAACACGTACCTAGTGTTACGCGAATCGATCAAATACGGGAGAATCGTTGTTCGCAAAAAAAGAGTTTTTTGATATTTGAATTGCGTATATGTAAAACATTTAGCGCAACACACAATACGACGGGTTGGTTTGGACAAAAAACGAAAAGAACAATAACGAAACGCGAGGCTTTGAAGACCGTCGAAATTAAATGCGGACAAAGTGTGCTGACACTTGACGGTCCATTGCTCTATGGATATATGGCGCATTTTGATTTAACCGCTGCAAACTGCCCGGCATGTCACCGGCGACTCGGGGATATGACAGGTAATGTTGCAACACACGAAAGAGGATAAATCTGATTTTAACCCGTTTCATATTTTCGCTCGTGCTCCTCCTTCTCCCCCTCCTATGAACGAGCGCTCCACCACCCCTCGATATTCAAATGCGTCAAATATTTTTATACCAATCGAAACATCCGTATGATCGTAGGTTGGTGTAGCTCGAAATTTGCATAATTATGCAATAACTGTGATGTCAGGTACCCTTCATCTCGCCACGTCGAATGGCAGATTCCAGCGGGCGCGCGCGCGACGAACAAATGAACGTATCGAGATATAAAATTCAGCACGTCAAAAATTATATACGCATCGCGGTCCTATTGATATAAATTTAATTTTTCGGCACATCCTTTTTTTCTATGCGCGCGAGTTCAGTTTTGAACCGCGAACTAATTGCTTTTTACTTGGAGCAGAGAGTTGCCGCAACACGGAGTGTGATTATTGCAAATATTATCTTTTTCCGAAGAGACATGCGCTTTGCACCTCTAAACAATTTATAAAACGCAGACGAGAGATCCGCGATCCATACATTTGCTCGAGATACAGACCTGATTGATAGCCAGCATCGATCAAGCCTTTCGCGCGCGCGCGCGCGCGCAAATACACACATATACACTTACACATACAAACTATATTAACTTTATGTATTAAATACTTCATCATTTTTTTGAAATATGTCGTCGAAACATTTCATTTCGATTTACTGTTGGGTCTCTGACTCAAAAAGCCGCAAACATTTTTCCTTACTTCCACGCGTTTCGCAGTTCATTTATTTATTCATTTATTTTTTTTTTTTTTTTTTT